TCTCAAGTGGGAGTTGGAATTTAAACTGTTCTTGCCGAGATATTTGAGCTTTTCCGGGATGAGGGTGTACTCAAAACACTCAAAATAGTTTCGAGAGGATTTCCCTGCAAGTATTCTTCCGTAAATAAATTTCACTCTCGTGTGGCAAAACTCTTAGAAATGAAGATTAGAAACTTTTGCCCCCAAATTCACAAGCATTTTTCCCCCATACTTTTTCACCAATGCTCGGAAGTATTTTGAAAATTTCCCATAGTAATCTTCCCTACTCAAGTTTCGCTCGACATTGCTGAAAGTTGTGGTGGAAAATATTCATAATAGCGACAAGAGGCGCACGTTGAGGAGAAAAATATCATTACAGGCCGCACACAACTTTATGCTCCCAATATGGATTTTTAAGTAACTCACTATTAGTTCTCCAAACATTGATGATGAGGAGGGAATTTCACTACACTTGAGGGATTCAAAGTTTTCCCACATTTCCCAACACTGCAGGCAGTGTGGGTGGAAATCTATACAGACAATTTTCCCGCCCACTGTGCGGAGGGAAAAAAGCCAAGTCCAAGAGGAGTGTATCTCTGGAATTTTCGATAGAGTCCTCCCCAGTCCACGGGCAAATCTCTGCCGTCACCCACTCAATGCGAGGCCAAAGAATAAAAGTGGAGGAGATTCCCAGACGCTTGGGAGAGACTTTTAAAGACTTCTCCCCACGCCCCTGGTGTGAGCATACATATAAAATACCCATTTAATAACGACGACGCTGGGTGTGAGGAGCCAACAAAAAATATTTATACAGAGATAAAATTCCTCCCAGAGCGGGTGGTTGGCCGGAGATGCGCGCGGGGGTGAAGAAAAAACAAACATTTTCACGCCCAACAAAACTTCACGAAAAGTTTTTCGATATATTTCCCTCCTAAATGCCGTAGTTTAAAGGGTTAAGGATGAGAAAGTTGGATGAAACGATTTTATAGTCTCCTCCTAGATAGTTCGCAGTTGAAATACTTTCCACTGATTCACATGGAGCACACACACTCGGGCGAGAGAGATCTATTGGCGGGGTGGGATGTGTTCTGCGAGTGGGTCTGGCTGCAGGATTACGCGACTGCTATGTTATAATAATGTTGCAAGCGGAGAGACTTTTAGATAAATTGTAAATGCGCTCCTGCAGCCAAGATGGAATCTCCAGGGTGGAAGATTGGAGGGATTGCTTCGCCATATCGCAAGCATGTCACAATGTAGCACCTTCAGAGCTTTCACACCTTCCCTGCAACTTCATTTTCAGCTTTTTACATTTGATGCAATGTGGAGAGCTTTAGAGATAGACCGGAATTCTTACAGGTTTCTGTGAGAATTAAGAATTCAGAACAGGACAAACTGACTGTCACGCGGTGTGATTTTTCCTATCTAATAATAATTGATTCGCAAGTTATGATCATTGGCCTAATTTTGAGTTCACCATTTCAGGGAAGGAATGAGTATAATTTATCGTCAAAACTGACTCATTCCTCCCTTATTAAACCCAAAACGCTTTAATTTATGCCACGTTTTACATACCGAAATGTTTGACCTAGAAAAGAATTTTTAGCATGTCTAATTAAAAGTCAGATGATTTGGGTCAACTGAAGATTTCTGTCACTTGAATTTCTTGCACTATTTCACTGGGTATAATGAATTGCTTGAAATTCTTCACACAAGCTGTTTATATACTATGCGGAAAGTGAATTTTTGAGTGACAACAGTCGAGGGAAAAGTGCTGAGAAATCCACCCTTGGTCAGCCATGAATTCTCAGTGGGTTCTTGGTGATCTCAGAGAAGGAGAGGCAAAACTTGGGGTGGACGTTTTGGGAAAACAACAACTGTCCTGCCCTTTTTGCGTACACCACCATCTGGACATTCTTAATACAGACAGAATCCCAATTGATGGCGTTGTGCCTGTCAAAAAGGAAGTCGCCTGGGTGGAGAGATCTGAGATTATACACCCAGCGCCCTGGCCAGGCTCTCTAAATGCGGCTCACGTTCGACGCGTCAGTGTGTCTGTTGACAAATAGCTTCTTTGACACGAACCAACTTTGCCGAAAAGCTTAACAACGACTGTGGAGCATTTTTTCCGCACATCTTCTGCAGCCCAACCCCTCGAAGGCAGTCAGGGAATATGTCATGCCACTATCAATTCGAATTTTTTTCCACAGATCCTTCGTGGGTTGGAAGTTTCTCCCTCCGAGGCAGAATTTCCTAATTTGGTGGGTTAAATGAACAAAAAGCTCATTAAGTCGTGATGGTGAAAACTCGACATGCTGAAGTTTTCTTGGGCGAAAAAGTCCATCGTTGTGGAGCAAATTAATGAAAATTCTTCTTCATGTGCTCCACTTCATTCTCAACCATCATTTATCGTCCTGTTGAAAGCTCCACGCCGAAGATCATGAGTACATTTTCGGTGGGTTGATTTGAAGCGAGAGAGAGGGGGAGAGAGAGAGAGAGAGAAATTGCGTGGAGATAAAAAGCCACTCTCTCATGCGTTTGCCATAATCATAAATATGGGATGTGAAATTAATATTTTTCGACTGCGCTGAGGGCCTTTTGTCCGGAGCTCCACAAAAGGGGATCCGGAAGCATCCCTCGAAATTGATGTCAATAAATTGCAACCGAGAGATAGAATGTCAGTGGGAAGCAAATCACATGAAATTTATTCATCTTGTGTTAATAAATCATCACATAGCAGTTTCCCCACGCTCCCTATAGATATGTATGTACAGCATTTTGCGACATTTTTCGAGGGCGCCCAGCAAAAAGTCACTCACTTTGAGAGTAGATTTGAAATTTATTGCTCGTATTTGCGAGTATCTTTTTGCCTGGAGGGAATTGTGTGGTCGTCTTGGGAGAAAAATCGCTATTGAGCATTAGTGTGGCGAATTTTCTTAGTCGTCTCAATTGGACGTCGCAACCACTTTAGACCGGCGGAAAGTTTGCCAGTGAGTGAATTTCAAAGTGCAAGTCCAGACATATGGATTTCGGGCTCTTGCGATCGATCAACAGCGAGAATTGATGGTGGATTCTAATTGAAATAGTGCTTAGATGGGAACATCCTGAAGATGTGCACCGCGCTGCGGGATGACTCATCCAGGCGAGACTATGCAAATCCGCGCGTACATTGTTCCAAATGCAAATCCCATACTGTGCGGAGGAGCGCAGAAAAAAGCCATTGCCAGAGAGAGAAGAAGTCACCCTGGAGAGCTTTTCTCGTGTATAAAGCTCAAACTAAATTATCAAATTCAGCATTGTGTTGAACATCATAATTCTTGTGCAGACTTGAGGCGGTCACAGTTGTGTGTCAGGGAAAAAAGGAAAACGAGAAATGGGATATAGTGTCGGACATGGGGAATTATATAAACAAACCATGAGAATTCAGTGTCACTCGCTATAAATTACTTTAATTACATTCACATGCAAATGATATGCAAGACACTCGCAATGGCTGAGCTTTCGAAGCTCTTTCTCTCTTGCCGCCCAGTGAAATTTGTCATGCCGGACGCAAATTGCATTTTATGTATGATGCAATTTTGGCACTTTTGGGTACTTTTTCATTAAGTTTGCAGAATGGGTCACAAAAGCGCACTGTTTCAAGCGTTCCGAGGTGATGAAAAAAAAATGGAGCCCTGAGAAGAATATCCTCAGAGCTGAGGCGACTGAGAGACGGAATGAATTTTAAAAGGAACTTCCTCAATTTGCTGCACATCGCCAAGGATCTGCGCTTTGTTGCGGCCCATCTTCACGAGCATGATGTGGGAATTTTTCAAGAGTCATCCGCATCTCGCCAATAAATCATAATGCAAGACGAGAGGCGGATGTTGTAGATAAATTAACTGGATTCGCAACCTCCTCGTTAGTGTTGATGTTGGTGCATCAGATAGAAGCTTTATGACTGTACATAATGAGCAATTCATTCGATAAGAGCATCAGAAAACATATTTAATAATTTATAAAGCTTATTAACAATTTCACTGGAGTGTATGAGAAAAACTTGTTTGAAAAAAAAAGCACTTTGTTGGACAAAACTGGGCAATTTGTGTAATGATAAATCTCTACCGCTTTTCCAAAGATTATTATTTCGTTAATGCATTGTAATATATTGCAATCATAATGCATCTTTATTATTAAACGGTAAAACGAATAAAAACTGAATGATTTTATTTTTTAAATTGTTGCCCGTTTTTATGTTTCTGCATTGATTTCGACACACAAAAAAACCCAAAAGTGCTTTCACCAGAGCTTTAATTACGCAATTTTTTACGTCGCATGGCGAGCGGCAAATAGTGAGTTTTCCTCAAAATTTAGGCTTTTTTGTCACGGCGCGGTCTCGCTTTGCCCATTCTGGTTGGTATGTATTATCCGCGAGGCATTGAAATGGTATTGAAATGCAATTTGTGTTATTAATTGTGGGGGAAATTGTTAAAATTCCACTGGCGGGAAGGCTTTTTTGTCTGCTCCTCAATTGTGAAATGTTGTCCTCTCTTTTGACACTAATTTATCTCTCTGTTGGCGTTTTTTTTCCGCCTGGAGCACCGCCTCCACCCAAATCGATAATTCATTTATTTCCCCTCACTATTTATTGAAAAATATTTCTCCGGGTGAGCTTTGGCGGGGTGTTTTTGCACCCCGTGCGTCGCTTTTTCGGGTCATTTCATCGGGGAGATTTTTCTCGTGATTTCTCGCAAAAATGTGTGGCGGTAAAAAAGTTTATGTTTTTGCTCTCAATGTATTTTTATCTCTATCCACTGTCAAAATGAGAAAATTCTTTGGTATTTTGGGTGTTAATATATGCGAGGAAATTTTTGTCATTGTCCCCGGCTGTCCTGGCTTTTTATGAACTTGCCAAGTTTGTATTTGGAAGTCAACACAAGGGGAAAAGCTCCAGCAAATTTACCCAGTGGAGAAGAGCGAAGCGAAAAAAAGCTCCTCAGCCACGATGAAGCAGTGAAGAAAAAACTACATAAAAGTATAAATACCTCGGTTGATGAGCATCTGCAGAATTGTGAGGAGAGTCCACGCAATTGTAATTTGCTTCCATTGCCACAATTTCCACATTTTCATTTTCACGACGTGAAGGAAAGCTCTCGTGGGGTGGAACTGAAAAGTATACGAAGGGCGAAGAGCATGAGGAAAAACAGTGAAACTTGCTGTATTTGCGGTGGTGTGTTTTTATGGAAAATATTTGCTTTTTTCAGACCATCCATTCTCTTCCCATGGCATATGGCAAAAATTCGCCCCACACTCGCAATCGCAGCACATATACGTATCGAATACAATGTTAATGCTATATTAAACATACGTGTTTCTCTGCGAAAGCTCCTTCTCTCGACTTTGCCGCGCTCCTGCTCGTTAGTTGGTGTTGCTCAACCCCAAGCGGTGTCGATTCCTTTTTTTGCTCTCGCTCTCCACGATGATCGTGTCATAATTTTCCTGGCTTGTTAACAACTCCCCACCATCAACTCGTCCGTCTCGTGCCGCTGCAAAGAAAAGCATGATTCGACATTTTACTCCGGTGCTTTCCCGCGTTTTGCCCCATTGCTTCCCTAAATGGGCAAAATTTCTCGCATGATTTGATGTATTCTTTTAAAGCCTTTTCCTGCTTTTCCTTCTCCTGCCCCAGATTTTCGCCGCGGAAGGAAATGCAAATAGCGCTTGAAAACGACTCTTATTAGTGTGTTTACATTAGTTTAATAATATCTCAATGGCACTGCAATCACTGTAATTAAAAGCTCACGAAAACTCCGTCAAAATTCTCATGAGAAATATTCTTATGCAATTTTTCGCTTTCAAAATAAATTTACTTTCCCTCGAGGGGAGTTGAAAGAAAAATTGAAATGAAAACTTTTGCGAACAGGAGAGAGAAACTTAATCCAGATGTTCGTATAATCTCCGAAAGAAATGAAAAATAGAATGCATTAAGAATCTCTTTCATTATTCTAAAGGGTGGAAGTAAATTGCAATGCTATGTTGAAACACACAGGGTAATTCTGTTACAGTTCAATTTTAAAAACTCACTTTTCCCACAGTTTGAGAAATTGAGTGAAAAAGAATCTCTGAAGATGTGTTTTAACGCTTTATCGATATATGATATCTTTGAGAGGAAATACGTAAAGTACACTTGATAATGCTGTTCAGACTACAGAATCACCTTGTGGTTGGAAACATAACTTTTCCATGTATAATTTAAACCCTGCAGTGGTGAAGAAATCCTCAAGATGTGCAGAGTGCACGGGAGGTACAAAAAAGTGGGGAGAAAAATGCGAATGAAAATTGATACAATTTATTACGGAGTCTGATTTGACGAAGCATGTATAGTTCTCATCCAACCCCATTTTTCAGTCTCAATTTTGGTGAAGAGATGTGAAAAAAGGAGAGAAAAATGAGGGACGTGAAAGGAAGTCTGTATAATTTTGTGGTCTCTTGATCTATGATGATTTTGCCATTGTGTTAAGTAACAATGAGAGGCTTGAGAGATGAAAGTGTGACGTTCTTCCAAGGCATGAAAAGTCATCTCCCGTAACGCCCATTTTTATTCATGCCTCGTGAGGCTCGACACCCGGATTTACCATAATACATATTCCGTGTGTAATTCCTCCCACTTGGCCCACTCGAGGATTTTCCACACGGAGCACCGGCATTATATTCTAGACACATAGGACGCCCGTAGAGCTTTCACTTGCTCCATTGTGCATTTTTGATGCTCCCATGAGAAGACCACTTGGCATCCCCTCGCTTTTCGACAAGTGTGTCACACATCTTTAGGGCCACGGAGAGCCTTCAAATTTGAATTACACCCTTGGATGGCGTCTTTTTCCGCATGAGAAATACAAACCCGACTCTCGTGCGTTGTTTCTGCCAGAGAAAATCCACTCACAGCGGAAGCTTAGACCGAAATCATCTCCAAAAGTGCTCCACTATTGAATGCTTGCAAGGCATTCAATCGATTGATTCTCCGGTCATTCTTGGACAGGAAAATTTGCCCAAGACATTACTCTATAGCTGGAGAATTCCTCTTCACCCCCCGGAATTTCTCACTCCCAACTTGGGCACCCTTGGTGGAATGTGTAATGCATTTGGGTATGATTTATGAGCTCAATAAAGGGAGTAAATTGAACATAACATGTGTTATGGTGACTCCACTTCGCATCCATCACCATCGACATGAGCATTGATTGATTCTGTATCATTTGCACCACACGGAAAATTCGAAAACACCGCGTGTAGAGCTTTTTCCCACACACAGCTCGAAGGCCTCAAAGTTCACGGGGCTGAAAAACACAAATAAACCAGTAACTCGTGAACACACAGCAAAATTAAAATCAAATATATTTGCCATTCTTCGGCGTGTGTAATTATATTTTGGAAAAGCACAACTCCATACATACACAATGGGGGAAAACTGCCGGAAGAAAGCCCTTTTGTGGCCACACAGAGGACTTAATGCAAAGTTCTATTGTGTGCCTGAGTGCGTGACAAAATTATTGTTTCGATTCACCGAGGAGTGTTTGACTTTGGAATACACTCAAAAGCTTCCAGTTCAACTTGCAGGCCATTGCAGAAGATCATGAAGGATTTCTTAGTGGCTGGAGAGCAGATTTTCCGGAGTGTGCTAATCTTTCCTGAGCTCATGGCAAAACACTCCTCAGGTGATTTCCGTCCAGGCTAAGGAGGAAGTGTGCGCGTGCAGAGCCCTTTCCACAGTCCGACAATTCATCAAATCGCACCCCCAGAAAAGACGGGCCTCACGGCGAAAATACCACCCATTATTGCCGGGCTGAAGAGTTGAAGGAGAAACTTTTCACTTAAGCCAAATCACTTCTTTCCGCAACGGAATTTTCCGGCAACTTTGGCCCCAGACCAGAGGCTCATCATCAGCCTATGCCAACAATCACGCTGTTGGAAATTTGTAATCAGCATAAATAAACAACAAGTATGATAATAAATTAGGTAAATACATTTTGGGAGTTCATCTTCGCATGCTTTCTTTCATGTTTCACGCTTAGCCATGGCGAGTAGGGAAGAATTGAGACACTTTTCTGCATTCCAACTCCGCGTGACCTTTCGGAGTATCAGTCCAGGAAAGGTGACATGGAAAATTATGAGTTATTCGGCGGAGGAGCAAATAACCTTGATTACGCGATCCCCTTGTTTTCCACGCTTAAGTGCTTTTCTCAATTTTTATCTTATTACCCGGAGAAAGAAAAATAAATCAGGCAACTTTCGGAAAGAGCCTCTGTGCCAAGATTTATTTTGCACCTCGTTCAAATTTGATAAGAAGAGAGTCTCAGTGTGCGGGGTGAAAGGGATGCACAGGAGTGAGAGAGAAGGAGAGAAATCATGAACATTTCATTACTCCACGTAATGATTGCCTGTGTTGTGAGTTGATTTGCTCCAAGAATGGAGCGAAAAAAGGTGGAACATAGCGTATATAAATATTTAATTGCGATACAACTTGCTCTCCGGATGGAAGGTGCAGAAAAAATTTCCATTATTTCGTGAAAAATAAAGCTGCTGAAGTATGTATGTATGCTTGGGGTTTGCTGTATTCTCAGATAGTGACTCTGCGATGTGTATACTTCTCAAGAATATAACAGCACGAACCAAAGCCTTTTTGCTGGTGTTGCCCATTATTTATGTTTTTCCACTCAACACTCGCAGCTTTTCTGCAACATTCTCAAATTGCAACTTAAACCATTGTAAATCAATTCATGATTTATTTTCCAATTTAAGTGTTTTGAATTAAATGACAATTGTCATGAGGTTTTTTTCACTGCTCTTAATGCATCTTCTGCAGTGTTGTTCATTACATTCGCTCTTTTGTGAGTGAAAAGAGAGAGAGAGCTTTTTTCGTCACTTCTCCGTCGAGTGGTTCCGCCTCCTTAAAGCTCGAAACCTTTCGAGAATCATCCAGTGAAGCTTATGAGAGCGCAGCATCAAATGAAATACTTTTATCATCCTCTTTTTCCATGTTCATTCACTCCCTCTGAATCCCCATCAACTTTGTCTTTTGTCCTGCACCTCGACTTTTTTGCCGCTCCGTCGCTTTCCATAGGGTGAAGGCCCAGCAGTTCTGGGAGTCACACTCAGTTATTTGTCCCTCTTTTCTGCATCCAGCTTTTGGCACAATGGCATTGCCTATTTGTATGAAATATTTTTGGCACAGTGCTCAATAAATCACCATTTAATGGGCAATTGTGGGATTCTTAATTATGAAACCATAATGAATCTATTTGTGCGAGGGCGAAACTCAATTCTCCTCTCGCCGCTATTCAATGTTCTCACGTGGGTGGCCCTCGTATTTGGATATATTCATCGTGGGAAAGAAGCAGGCGCGGGTGTGGGAAAACGTGTTAGAAAAGGGATGTGAATTTATTCACATAATTCGATTGGAGAATGAGAAAAATTTCCACGATATGAGAGGCGGGTGTGGGCAAAATATGATGAAAAATTGCTGACATTACAGAGAAATATCGGAATTCGCATAGAGAAAAATTGTTCTTTGTTTTCCCTCATGCCCTCTTCGGGCGGAACCCCACAGGGACCACAAATTACACGCCATCCCCACGGCACTTTTTTGCCCTTCCGCACGGCGCCCCTAACAAGCCCCTGAAACATGGAGACAGCTGAAAGGAACACTATGGGAGTGTCTCAGGAATGGTGGAAACATCTTTCCAAGGAGGATTGTTGTTAATTTCGAAACGTTGCACCTTCTTCACCCACATTGCTATATACATTGGCTTCACACACACACGCCGTTTCGTGTACCACATTCAGCTCTCCGGAATGCGCGCTCTTGTTTCCTCAGGGCTTCTCATGGTGAGTAGTGGAGGGTTTCCTATTAGAAAATACCAAATTGCTGCGCATAAAAGTTACGCCACCGTCATAATTCTACAAAAACCCATTTATATTTCAGTAATTATAACATTCTGCTACAGAAATTGTCAAATAAGTAAATTTCTGATTGTTTGTGAGACTTACTTTTTCATAATAGGGGAAAGCGGGGCTCATCGAAATCAAAAGCAACATAGAAGGATACAAGAAGTACGAAAGTACAATACAGAAAACATCACAGCCTTGAATGAATCTGTATGGCTTCAGTACCAAATAAACTTCAAGTAAAACCCAATTCTGGAGCGAATTTCGGTGATAAAGAAAAGCAATCCTTTTGTAAGATGAGTGGCCCCCATTTGTGAGCACTCCTGCTTCATGGTGGCATTCCCACAGTGACAGTGAGACAATTTCCAATACAATTTATTGAGAGGCACACACTCGGAAGAGCACATAAGAGAAAATGTGTCCCCTGTATTATGCACTCTGCAAATACGTGTAGATTCAAAATACGATGGGGGAAATGTCGAGCTGAAAGCAAGCTCCATGCACTTGTGCACAGAATGAGGTTAACACAGCACACACACACACCCCTATGCCATTGAATGTGAATTGCAAAAGAATCTCCAATTTGTCTGGCTAAATCCGTGTCTTCATCCCAAATTCAGTAACACCATTGTGTTTACCCTGAATTTGGTATTTTTACACGTTCACTTTGAATATCGCACACAGATCATCCACCCTGGCCCATGCCACCAATCCCAGAAGTGCTCGGCAGATGACTGGGGAGAAAAAGATCCATGGGTATCCAAACAGACGAAAACAAGCATCCGATAGCTTCTGTGCCACTCTCATTGTGTTGTTCCTCTCGTCGCTGCGATGGAGTTTACTCTGGAGACGTGAGTGTGGATGGGGGCGCTCCGGCATTGACAAAACGACAAGTTGTGTGCTCAAATTCGGAGATTCACTCTCATTCCGTCGTGTCGCAAAACACAATTCAATCACTCCGCTTCACCGCTGCAATATAATAGCGAGACACATAGAGAGCTTCTCAGGCTTTTTGTTTACACACAAATTCCTCGGCGGCTCGCACCTCGCCAGCATCCATCTGGCGACAGTGTCGCCAAGAAAGTGGTATTTGCAAGCTTATCAATTTACTCGGGTGATTAATTGCATTGCGCAAGTGACTCTCGTTTGTGGCTCTCGGGAAAATTCCTCAGCAATGCGGCCAACTGGTGACATCTGCTCCGAAGAGTGACCTCAAGCGCCCCCCAAAAGTTGCCAACAATTAGGACACAGGCATCATCTTCTGGTCCTCAAAAGGTCTTTCGTATACCAGAGAACAGATTGATTTTTCTCAAAGCTTTAATGAATTTAAAGCCTGCAGAACTATACAAAGTAGCAGACATTGTGTATTTCCTTTATATATAAATTAATACTGAAAATAAACTTAAACTTCTAATGAGTTGAACTAACCAAATTGTTGTTATAATGTTTAACAGAAAAATTGATTTTGCTAACTTTATTATTCTCTGTGAACAAGATCTGTCCACAGACTCTTTCACTATCATCTCAATTTCATATTCCAAGTGTAAACAGACTAGTTCAAATACGTTTGCCATTCAATAAATCAATTGTTCAGCAATCTTCCCCTGAAGCCAATCTCACTTGACTTTAGTGATTATAATGAATCTCTTTTGTGCACGGCAATCAATGTTAATTCAGTGCTTTAAGGAAATGTTCCCCTCAGAACACAAAGTTTCAAACTGTTCAACTGCTCGACAAGACCTCCTGGGACGCTGAGCTCAAGTTCGGCTGTGGGAGGTGAAAAATAGCGGTCAAGAGACTCTGCGTGACACCCTAATTAGGGTCACAGGATGGGGGAATTTATCGAATTGGACGGGACATTATGCACAATTGCCAGCATTTGAATCAATTTCAACTTGCGAACGGCACGAAATTAATGACTCTCATGGAGTTTCGGGCGACGTGGAAAGTGCAAGGTGTTGGCTTGTGAATTGGGACACTCCGGACTGTGCGTCAAGTTCGCGAGAAGGCCATTAATTTCCTGAGGCGAGAGAGAGAGGCACAGTGGGCACATAGGTATTTTAATTAAAATGGGCACATTTATTACATCCATTCTGACGCCGAGGCACTCTATCTGTGGCCATGTCGCCTCGGAAAAGCTCCAGAGGCATTTCGGCATTTTTGCATGGGCCATAATTCAAAATCCCTCGGCACACTTTTGGCCGGAGCGCGTCTCTGTCAAATCCCATCAAAAGTGAAAGATGGATTTGAAACATTGTGCAAAAGCCCAACTCTCACACCCCAGCAGTGCCCATTAACTTTGTGGGCGATAGAGAGAGAGAAAGAGAGATGAAAATCTTGGCGCATAAAATTGTCTTGTATGAAAATGGTCTGCGGGGGAATATGAAAATGACTTCATTATAACATTTTAATTAATACTGTGAGAGACGGAAACTTTTGCCGTAATTTTAGTTCCTGCGACAACTTCTCAGTTTACGCGGGTGAGATGCGTTCCACTCTCACCGAACTTACAAGACATTTCCCCATCTCTATGTCACACTTTCTGTGAAAAACTTTTCCCATTGTGACATCAATTAAAAATTATCTTTGATGTCACATTCAGAAGCGCAAAATATAACATTTTGCTGACGTTTCGCCACCATGACTCTCGTGCTCAACTTCCTTGCCACCCATCTACAGACAAGTCTACAGATGCACCTAATTAATTTCTGGCCATTTTGCCGCGGCGGATACTCACACCCAGGAACACTGGGGAACCGAAACGCAATGACGGGATGAAATGCAAGTAAATCTATTAAAACTTTGTCACGGAGCAACACAGCTAAAGTGGTGAATGATGACGAAGGTAAATTTGAAGATATTTGCACAGTGGAATGAATAACTCTTCCCTTTAAAAGTACTTGTCCAAAGAAATTCCCTCACTTTGCATAACGCTTATGAATGAGTTTTGTAATATTTTCTCACAGTGATTTAAAATTCAAAATTTCCCTGCTTCTCCTTTGAATTGTGAAACAAAATGTGGCTGCAGATAATTTTTCATTAGGATTTCAGACACACAAATATATATATCACATAAAGTTTTAATTAATTCCACGATGAGGTGGAAAGTTTACAAATTATAGTAGAATATATGGCGCATTGAATAGCTTACAAAAAGGATTCCCAATTAGCTGTGCTAATCGCCTGGCAGATTGTCGTGGATTGTGTGTCACATGTAATGAGTCACTTCAATGTCGGTTGAGCTTGAGAGAGCGCTTTGGTGGTGGATTTTCAACGACAGTTGCATCGACAGTGCAGTCAATCATCGTCCAATTTGCCGTGATCAACACATTAATCATTTCGCACTGGAGCCCAATGCTGCGGCAATTGCCTGGAATGCCCGAAGGATTGTGGCGTATCCTTGCCATGCTCTCGAATCTGAACGCTTTTTTGCGAGCTTGGAAGAAGGATGCGCTTGAGGCGATTTATGACTCTGAGCTTTTTACGACTCTCCCCGCGTCCTTCGGCCCGGCAATTTCACTCAAGAGGATACGTGAGTGGGGTGCCTGACAAAAAGCCTCCCCCACGACAAACGGGGGGATTGCGATTGAATTCCGTGTATCAAAAACTATTCCCGCACGGCAAACACTACATTATACAACCCGGAGCTCAGCCATAAAGCACTTTTATCACATTCACAATTCATATAAACGTTTTAATGTCATCATTTTTGACCATTAATATGAATATGAGGGATTTTTGGTGTGTTAAACCATTGCGTGGGTGGGCTTTTTGTGCTCCCATTTTCGCAACTCTATGCGAGAGTGCGGGCCAAAGAATGGGAACGAATGTGCTGAAATTTATTTTCATGAACCCAACACACACAATTTTTGCGCATTTCACATCCATTTCCGAGTGTGTTTTTAACGAAATTCCCACATTTTTGTGTTACCGCCCAAAAGCTCTGGCACTGTTATTTTTTAACATCAGCTCAATTGTAATTTCACCCACTCCCTCGGGGCGTGAAGGGTGCGAGGACGAGTGCGCGCAGGAAATTGTATTTGCGAGAAATTACTATATTACGGCATGTCGGAGACTTTTCGTGATTCTTAATTTTCACAATTGGGTTATTGAGTCGCGCACTGCCTCTCAATTAACCCCTTGTAGAGCTTTCAAGTGCTCGCCATCGTGTGATTTTTATATACCCGGCCAATTGAGTCATTCTTGCGCGACATGCGACCCCGAAAACATGCTAAACATCGCAAGGATAAATTTCACAGGGAAGTTTAGGGGATTATAAACTGTAAATTACCTCCAATTATTCTCTCTGTTTTATATTATTGCACTACCCCAAAAGTTCGTAATCCAACTGCCGCAGGGCTACAGCACTATCGAATGAAATGTGTCTTTGAGCATATTGTCGGATAGGAAATTAATTAAATTTAACTACACGCATCTCTGTTCTTGCCACATTCACCAAGCAATTACTTTGCCTTCCACTCGACTGACTTTACGGCTTGCCTCAGAGTCACACTGAATCAGTTGGTCTCGCGAAATTTTTTCCCTTTTGAATCAATAGCAAATTGGGATTAATGCCACGAAAAACAGCACGAACATCATCACCTTGCAGAAGTCACTCGCCCCTTGTCTTTCGTCACACAGTCCACACCGCAGAGAACTTTGATAGTGTTATCAAACCTAGGGTCGATTGGGTACTAAAAAGTCAAATGCTCAGATAAAATGTTCATACAACATCCTTTGGCTGCCACAGGAGTCACTTTGGCGCTCTCTCAGGCCCCATTTCCCCACGCGCGCCAGCGAGAGAGTTCTCTAGGCGAGAGCCAAACAACTGGGGAGCTCTGAACTTCCAGTGAACACCCCTCAAAAGTTGGGGAAGTGCGCAATCGTCAGCTCGACTCCTCAATTGAATTACACATAGAGAAAAGGATTAACTAGCACCCAACTTTGTGGAGATTCGGGGGAAAAAACGCTGCCCCAAAGCTCAAAAGTTTCCCAATGGCATTTAATTGGATTCTTTGATGCACACTGGGAAATGGAAACTTAATGGACAAATGCGTGGAGTAGGCCCATGAGAAGTAATGGGATTGTGAGCCCTTATTTGGGCAGTTGATTGCAAACATACCAGCCAGCATCATGTTTTGATGGACTTGATGAGTTTTCGGGATTACACGAAATGGGGTTTTCATTGCATTTCCATAACTGCAGTCAGAGCTTTGTGTCCCTCTTTTTGGGCCATGTTTTTCCATATCATGTCATTTGTTCGCGTACACAGAATTCCTGCCAAAGAAGCAAGGCTTAAAAAATGAGTTTTTTTTCCCACAAAGATCCAAATGTAATTTTACGTAATCCGCGATATGGAACCAGTCAGTTTGTACACTCAGCAAATGTTCAAAATTCAAGCATAGAAAAAGTGCGTTATTAGATAACTTTGTGATATTTTTTCAATATTTCAGTAACATTTTTTTTGCACTAAAAAATTGTTTGACGTCAAAGCCTCTACTATTTATTTCAAAAACCCTTCGTGGTTTTTTTCTTCATATTTTTGTGTGAGTGATTGAAATCAAAATTTGCCTGCAAAAAGCATTATTTAAACTGGCCAAATACTAAGACGAACTGAATTAGAAAAAGTTTTTATAATGAAACCAACAATTTTTGAGAAATATAGTCAATCATCTGTAGACGATTAAAAACTAATGAGCAATTTCAGAGTGTTTGCTTTTATTTTGGAAAACTGCTTTCAAATGTGCACATCATTTAATTTTCAATTGAGTTTATGTTGACGAAGACTCAAATATTAATCAAAACATTTATTGGTCAGTATCGCAAATAATTCACACTGTTATTAATTAAAATGATAGTTATCCTATCTGGTTAATTATGCACGACATAATTTAGCAATGCAATATTCACTATTCATACTGGTTCTATTATCAGCATGAAATTGATGACTTGTGTTATAAAGTGTGTTGAAAAAAGTCGTCAGTCCAATCTTGTCACTGAATCTGACAATAGAGACGCAAATGGGATTTTGACGTGCCAAAATCAGTTCTTTGTCTATCGCTATCTCTGTGTGGATTAATTAAATTCTTCTAGCTCCTGAACCGAACATAAAGTGTGTCTCGACGGGAAAAATTGAGTGCGAATGTGAATTATGAAATTGTAGTGCAATTAGTGGGAGCTTTATGAGTCTGACTAAATAAAACAGAGGCAAAGGAGGGATTGTGAATTTGTTAATTAAATTTTCAGCAAATATTTTTCCCGTGCAAGAATGTCTTATTTTCGCCTCCTCCGCTGTTCGTCACCTTTAAAGCGCTCTCTCAACATTTATTAAATTTCCAGTGCACGCCAGAAAAAAGCTCTTGGTAATTTTTGCTCCTTCTCCATTTGCTTTTCCAGCTCAATTGAGATATTAAATTCTATTTATACCCCCATTTAATTGAGATGAGGGCTAATCGTCAAATAATATTTTTCTCGTTCTATAGCAAAAACACCACGCAAACATTTGCTGCAATCGCACGCCCAATTCAGTCTATTTATTCACTCTCGTGCTCTCGCAAACGAATTTCCATGGAAATGCAGCGAGTGTTGCAGAGGGAATTCGAGAAAAATACATATATGCACATATTCTAATTATTCCAGCAGATTTATTATTAATGGGGAAAATTTAGATTTCGGTGCATTGCACACTGCAACAATGCTGAAATTGAGATTTCACTGAAATTAACACAACCAACGCCAAGGGGTTAAATCTGTTTGTGCACTGCAGTGATATTTGTCTTTATCAACGATCTTACAATTTCCTTATATGATCAAATAATAATTACATATACGAATATCAATATCGTGGCTTTACATACAGCCGCATTCTCTGAGATGTTCACCCCCTGGCAGCTCTCAATTGCAAACACAAATGTTGATTCAATCTGCAAACACTCTGAGATATAAAATGTTTAGCAATTGCATTGGAGATTATTGATTCAGCATATTTCCTCATATTCCGCAACAAATTGCCTTTTTGGCGTTAACTTTGGGCAGCGAGTTGCCGATATTTTGCTCTATATTCTCATCCTAATGATTTCTATCGACGCTCCAGAGTTGGAACGCAATATTGAATTGTGAGGGGTTTTTTTATCTGAAGAAGAATTACGGTTCATTGTTCAATCTTTTTTCGACACAAAAAGACTCAATTCTCAGCCACAATTGTGGCGATGGGGAAATCGAAGAGTGTGGTTTTCTCATTAGTCTTCATTGTGGATGGAAAGTGTGCAAAAGAGAGCAGCAAATCCGCATGGATGCCACTGCAAATTCATAATAATGATAGCAATAATTGTGGATAAACAATTAAGTTTTAATTGGATGGCAGCAGCAATACGAATCTATTCTATTTGCCAGATTGTGGAATTTATCGACCAAGTTAATAATTTGTTTGGCAGATTTTGCAAATTAAACACTCAAATAAATACACTGCATTTGAGTTTTTGGCAATTTAGCTCTCATGGATTGAGTGGAAAAAAATATAATAATGGGAAGAGAGAGAAATACAAACAAATACTTTTTGTTACTTCATTACAATGCCGTTATAGTTGAATAATTACTGGTTTGCACATTTGTTATCATCACATTTCACCATCACTTCATCTCCAGTTCTTGCAGAGTTCACAAGTGATAATTGACAGAGAAAAAAGTGTATTAATCTATCCAAAATGAAATATGAAGTGAGTGTGATTTTCCTCCTCGCAATCAGCTTTTCTGTCCTCGAAGCGAATGGTAAGTTGAAGAAGGACTTTTGCCATATTCTCACCAATTGAAAAGTCATCAATTATTACAAGGATGCCTTGGACATTCCCTGCGACAACGATTCCAGCTGCTTAAATAAGGTCTACAACAATTTCACGATGTGCATAAAGAACCAATGCAAGTGTTACGATCATAATGGCGTGGAAGCAGTCTGCAAACTACAAGTAAGATCACAATTTCTGATGCATTTCATATAACCAATAGTCAAATTTGCTTGCTTTTGCAGAAAATTAGCGCCAGCAATGTCATAGGAGGAAAATGTCCTTGTCCCATCGCACATTCAGTTTGCGATCAATTAGTAGGGCTCTGCATCTGTTCGGAAGAATTCATCATGAGCCAAGATAAGCGCAAATGTATCCCAAGTGAGTATCGCGCTGTGAAATTATACAATTTGCATTCACACAAACAACTCGATTGAGCTCTTTTGAGAGCTTTGACTTTAATTCTTATGAGCGGAAACGTCTGAAAGGTTTTCATCTTAGATGCTTTTGCTAAATGTTCATTATTTATTCATGGGTTTTCATTCAACAGAAAGAGTATTTGATGAATTATCTCATAATTTGTAGAATTTTCTCAGAGAAATACGCTTTCATGAATGTTTCATCTTTTTTCTCTTGATTCTCCCTGGGAAACTTAGCGTATTAAACTGAGAAAAGTGCAGAAAAATACTCAGCGCATCTTAAAAGCTCTTGAATTGTTGATTCTCTATTCACACAATTTAGCTTGAGTGGCAAGTGAAAATGTGTGTTTTTCCTCCTTTTTTTTCAGAATCCGTTCATCTTGGTGAGAAATGCGAAGACAATTCCCAGTGTCTGTCCTATACGGAGAATAGCGAGTGCGATCTAGAGGAGAATATTTGCCACTGCCAAGGGAATTTCACGCAGTACGAGGATACCTGCCAGAGCTTCACAGGACTCGGCGGTCGATGCCGTCAGAGTGCAGAGTGTCTGGGCAGAGCCCAGAACAGCGTCTGTCAGGATCACCGCTGCATGTGCGCGATCAACTTCGTCGCCCGGAGAAATCGGACCGAATGTCTGCCCGTCGCGCACTACGGAGAGCCCTGCTCGGAGCCTGGACAGTGCCAGCAGACCCTGGGCAACGGAGGAGTGTGCAACGATGGATTGTGCGTGTGCGATGCAGCTCACCAGAACATCAGCCTCGGCGGGCACACCATCTGCGAGAAGAAGATTTGTGAGTTCGATTAATTGAATTTCGACGGCATTATGGCCATGATTTATCAGAGTGCTCACACGCAAAATTCCTATTCTCTGTGCGTGCGACAGTGCTGCCGGAGAATTTCAATGTGACTCACACTCGAGCGTCTCAGCAGAATTCGATTTTTCAGCACGCCCACACAAAAGGTGTGCGAGTGTTCCTCAAATGACTTGTGCAATTTATTCTTTCAGCTGTGGGTGACACGTGCAAGGATCACGGACAATGCTACCACTCTCATCCACTCAAGCAGACAATGGAATGCATCTCTGGACAGTGCCAGTGCATTGAGGGCTTTTCCGTAGAGAGTCAGCAGTGTACGGAAAGTAATTGCCCATGAGATTGAAGACATTTCAATGAGAAAGACCATTACACGCTTTTTTCTGCTCTCTTTTCCAGACTCTGCGAATTCTGTGAAAATCGTCACCCCGGTTTTTCTCCTCATCTGCATGATTGTCCATAAAATCCTCAATTAGTGAAAGCCGCATGGCGGGGAGAGGAAAAGCAGAGAGGGAAAATTTTCAGCAAAAAACGCCACCGAATGTAAGTCATATTGCTGACCATTTAGTAAATATTTTTCTTTTTACAACATTGTAAAATCCATTGATAAATTATTGAAATAAATGCGGTTTTCGGTGCAATTTTTCATGCAAAATTTATATTCTTTTTTTTTATTGTTTCGCACACCCCCATCGCCGACAATAATCCGCCTGTTTTGCCGCTTTTTTGCACGTCCGACGCTGAATAAATTGTCACAATTTCATAATCGACAGAAAAAAAATATATTTGTTCACAGCAGATGAGCTCTATATTTTAATAGTCGCCACGAGGGAAAAAAGCAGAGCTTTCCAATTAAAATGACGCTCGCAGCTTAATTCTTTGATCATGGCAATGAATAGAAATTAATATCGCGTGGTGAGTAAATTAGAATAATTACGGCAATCTGTCTTTAATATCTGCGAATGTGGAATATTGCCTTAAAGTCCTTCAAGTGTTGGCCAGTTCGGCACGGAGACTCAAGAAATGACAACGCCCTGATAAAACTTCCTGATGTCGGTTGGCAGAGAGCCAATTGTATTTACAAGACTCATTAATGCGGCCATTTAATACATATCGGGGTGGTTTGATCAATTTCCTGCCAATTTCTGGACATGCTGCAGGCAAAACGGAAAATTACCCGCAATCCCTCCTCGATGTAATGCCTCCTCATTTCCATGCAATATTCTCCGCACTTTCTGGGGGGCATAGGAAGTAATTCTGCAACACTGGTCCGGAATACAAACCACGATTTCGCCCCGGAGCGCATTTGGGACGGTGTTTGTTGCTGAGGTCACCACCTTTCTCACCGGCGCCGATTGCAGTGGGTGGGAAAAGAGAGAGGTGGAAAAATCAGCGCGATAGTTGCTATCAGACTGGGTATTAAGGGTTTAAATCATTAATTAAAACGTTCCCTCTGGATGGCGTTTGGTAACCGCACAAGAAGGAAAACACGAAACAGAGACAGAAATGGAATTATGATGTAATCATATTGAAATTATCATTATTGTGAATTCTGTCTTTCCACCCACACTCTGTGAGGGTGGTTTTCTTGCAGTGTGGCTTCTAGACAAAATGGGGTGAACCGCACAAAGCTCGTCTTTCCCAGCCCGGCTTTGCCTTAAGAATCACCCAAAAACCCACAGAATGTATGCGAGTGTTGTGGGCTAAAACTTTATGGTTTCGGTGAAGCATAAACAATGTGAATGTAATTATAATTTACAACAATTTAATGTGCACTGGATGTTCAACAATTAGATTAATTTCCAGCAGAGGAGATGTCTTCATTCTTATAGGCTTCCATGCGAATCCGCACAGCCCTTTCAGTCCGCATACTTCATAGCCTTAACAAGTAGAATGTCTTTTATTAGAATTTCCTACATATATTCTCCCCTTCTTTCTGGGGCGGACATTGATGGAAATCTAGAGCAATCTCAAGGAGTCGTGGAGCATGTTGAGGATGAAATATCATGGGGTGTATCTAAATTGTCTCTAATTGATACTGTTCTTGTCAGCATTACACGCACTTTCACTTGATTAACAGTCCCCACAAACTTGGACGGAGTGTGTATCGGAAAACCAAGCCCTTTTGCGCCAATAAAGACATCCATAATTCTCTGCAGCGTATTTAAATGCATCCCCGCACTAATGAACTCCGCAGGTTTTGGTAAAATCACAGTAAATCGATGTGCAGAATGCAAAGGATGGCACGGATATGAAAGTTCCCTCTCGGTGTGAGTCAATAAAAAATTCAGCTGCAAGTATAAAGTTCTCCGTTGGTGCTTGATTGATTAGAATTGCAAATGTTGTCATGGGTTTGGGGCATGTGCAAATATTCGTTTTCCGTGGCGACACTACGGGGAGAATTACAAAGTCAAATTTACAAGCCGCCAAGTGCAAAGGTGCGGTTTTCTGGGACTCTGAGGGAGCGTCCATTTAAATATTACTCCAAATTGAATAAATCTCGCCAATTCAATAAACACACCCTTAATCCAGACACGCCAGAATGTTCCATTCTAGCGATAGAGTGCAAAAACTCAGGCTTATGATTGATCCGAACAGCCACAGAGACAAGAAATATTCACCCTTGTGGTTATTTATCGCTTAGACATTCTCTGATGACCTGCGATAATATTTAATGGCATCCTGTTGCTGTTTTTTTGCCACTCCCTCGGGAAGCCAACACCAAGATTTACAGCCTTGGCGCTTGATCTCTCTACTCGTGTACTTAATGGTGGTTCATTTAATTCACTGAAGCACTTTATATCAATCCCTGTGCGCCCAGCAGCATACACATTACACTTCTTCCACCCACTCTAATGAATTTGTCTCATTCACTCGATTGCCCTTCCGCCAAAACATGCCTCAAGTGGAGACCGATGTGTCCATCGTTGACTTCCTCCTGCACTTCATTCATCACTTTCCAGCTTTCCCTCAACCAGAAGCAGTCACACTGGAAATTGGTCTAATGGTGTGGAAATTTTGGACGTAATTCTGATTGAAGGATCAAATTAAGCACTCTGTGGGAAATTTAAGAAGTATCAAAGGTGTAATTTCAATATATTTTCACTTTTTGATTAAAAACAGCCAGTTTAAAGCCATACTTTGCTCATAAGTATTTTCTTAACTTTAAATTTTGCCTTCAAAGGGTCGCTTTCTTCTGTCTTTTTTTGATCCCTTTTTGAAAAGAAGGGTCTGAGTAGCTCACATTTAGAGGCGCTCCCTTCAGTCAATAGAATTTTGAAGAAATCGTGGAGATCTTTGATGTGCAGGAAACAATTAGAAATCCCCGCAAAAGCACAAGAGAAGTCCCATTGAGCTCCCCTCACAAAGGCATCACAATTGTGTGTCAGTTAATTATTTTCAGACGATTTTGATGGGCGCCCCAAAAACACCCGCCCATCTGTGGAGTCATTTGTTTGGGCGCATGGGTGCGGGAATTCATCTTGGCACCAATTCGTCAAAATCATCGTCAAAGACAGCCGCCAATTAAGCACCCGCAGCACAAGGCTCGTGATTTTGGGGATGTCGTGAATGTTCTCACATTGTTTGGTGTCATCTTTTCCCCATTTGATGGGTTGGCGCGCCTCCCTTGGTCCCGAACTTCATTCACTGGGAGGGGAGGAGAAGATGCTTCCACTACATTTCGCCATAGGAAATATCACTCAAAGTATGAACTTCACCTCTCCAAGTACTGAAAATGAGTGTGCCGAGGAGACGCTTTATGAGTAAACTTTCTCTCCGGTATGTCATTATGTAATGGGAAAATGCTATGGGATACACTCACGTAAAAGTCCCAATGAATGTGTCTCACATCTGCAGTAGTGTCATCTCCTAATCATTCATCCAAGATGGAAATTTGCAAAGATTTCACTCACTCTCTCTCTCTCTCACTAAAGTGTGGTTTCACAGCAAGAATTTCAGCAATTTCCACTCCCACTCACAATCACACATCCCAACAGCAGAGAGAGCGAGAGTTTGTCGCCCGAAGGGATGAGCTAAAGAAGAGCACCATTTGCACATGTTTTACACATTCTTGGCGGAGAGAATGCATATGGAGCGAACGCGCATTGACAATTTAATCTCAGATGAGAAATTCTTATGCAAAATCACTGGGATTAAGTGGAATTTTTCATATACCATCACAACTATTCTCCCCATCATCATTATTATCCCTCCATTTGTCCTCCTCACCTGCTGATAGGCAAATCTCTTCTTAGCGCACACAGACGACATTACTTATGGGCACTCCTCAAAAGCCCTAGTATGATCACATATCCGCTGAGTGATTAAAATATTAATGGATTCGCGTTCTGTCTGCTTGCTGTGACACCACCCAGTCTCTCTCTCTGGCTGCCTTCCCATCACAGTCAGGCTTCAAATGCACAAATGCCTCTCCGCCCGTCGCCCCGAAAGACATGTGGCACATTTCACATTATTAAGCGATATAAATTAAATTCAGTGTCAACAGCATTTCACCTCAGTAATTTGAAAGTATGAAGCAGTGTGTCTAATTAGGTAATTTATTATGGTATATCTCTGTCTAATGCTCGTGGGGGTGGAAAATGTGCGTGCAGGCTCACGTGGAGTGACTTCGGGGCGACCAAATGGTGTGTTGACTGTGAAGAAGCCAGTGGGGAAAATCCACCTGATGCCACTCATCCTTGAGTGGCTCTCCTTCACGCCAAGCCACACTGCAGGCACATAACATCAACACTGCGGGATTGTTTATCTTTCACACCGCTCTTTAGTTTTCCCCGTCAAATATTAACACAGACACGCAATCCCGGTTCAACACACGCGGAAGATTATCTTCAAGAGAGAGACACACCTCTCAATAGCTGCCAAATTGCAAATCAATCTCCACCGAAGGCGAACTCTCATTACATGCAAGCTCCGTGTACGAAAAAAATGCCAATTGGAATTCGGGCGGCGGGTTGGGCGATCAGAGGGGGTGGCATGGCATCAACACGGAGAGAAAGTCAATTATTTACTTCATTCCGATGAGTCTGAGACGAGAGTCGTGAAATTAATGGTGTCTCCTTACGTAATTGACGACGAGATTGGATTTCAGGCTACAAAAGATTAAATCAACTGATCAATGTCTCTTTGCTCCGCGTTCAATCACCATCCGCCCGCAAAAAATCGATGGACTTGGCTAAAATTTCATTAAACATAATTCCAGTGATACTGTGTACTTCCCTTCGAGTGCGTGTTCATCAATCAAGGGCCGCGGGGCTCTTGGGGTGAATTAAAATGGAATTTTGCACTGAATCACAGCCCATTCCTACCTGATAAGCCCGCTTGCAAGGGAAAATCATCTCTTGAGTCCCAAATGGGGTTCATTTCATTGATTTTGCCCATCAAATTTGTGCGATTGTGTTTAGATGCTAAACTGCCACAAAAGGTACTCAAGAAGACAAGTATACTTTGAGTGCAATTGTCATCAATGCAGAATCTTGTCCTCAGCAATTTTAACTGTCCCTTTGAGGATTTCATGTCCTTCC